TCCTGTTTCTTGCTGCCCACAGATTCTAGTGCTGGTTTCTTCCTCCTCTGTGAGCTCCCTGGCAGGGAGGGTAGGACTGCATGATCGTCACCAGCCACGGTGACATCTTCCAGGGTCAAACGTGGTCCTGGGAAAGGTGGAGAGGTGGCAGACCTCCCCCCCCCGAGGCCACAGCACCTCTTCCCTGGGTCTGCTCCAAAGTCTGGCTCCTGGTCTCAGAAGAGAACCAGCAGCTTCTCCAGCTGGGTCTCAATAAATAAATGAAGGTAAGGGTAGCTCCACCCAAGGGTGTCAGTGGTTTCGCTTGGTCTTTGACTGTGGGACGGAATACTCCCTCCTCCATGAAAGAACCTTCCCCCAAAAGCAGGAGAAAACTCCCCCTTGGATGGAAGGTCCCTGCTGCCTTCACCGATGCCAAGAACTGAGTCTCCCTCGCCCGTCCTGGCTCCCACCGTGGAGTCCAGCACACGGGCCCTCCATCAGGTGTGTGGAAGGAAGGACTGGCCACCTGTCCCCCAAATCTGAACGGCACTCCCCAGTTCACCAAGCATTTCAGGACTTCTGGTCCAACACAGCGGCTGACCACTTGGTTTATCTCATTTCTCCCCCCGGGACCTCATTAAACTGAGACTAAAGGAATAAAAAGTGGGAAGCCCTCAACAAAAAGGGGCCTTCGGTGATCAAAGATCAGACCCATCCTTTCTGGAACCGTGGTGACTGGTGAAGTTAGGGGGGTGCTTAATGGAGGATGTGAAGAATGGATTAGCATTGGAGTGAGGCGTCAGCTTCTGCAAATGTGACAAATTTAAGCACAAAAATATATATGTAAAACTAATAAATATCTAAGCAGAGGAAAGTGGGAAGGAGTCCAAGGGCACCGTTCACGCATCTGTCAAAGAAGGGAGTCAGTTAAGGCCAGCACTGTCTTCAGTGACAGAAAATTCTTTATCTGTGCTAATAAGGTCACCACCAGCTACACGTGGCTGTCTGGCACTTGAAATGCGGCTAGTGCAACCGAGGAACTGAATCTTAATGGTATTTAATGTCAGTTAATTTTACTTTAAATAACCACATGTGGCCAATGGCCGCCATATTGGACAGCTCAGACGCTGTCCTGTGTCAGAGAGGTATGTGCGGACCCACGTTCACAGCAGCGTTATTCACAACCGCTAAGGTAAGGAAACAGCCTAAACAGTCAATGGATGAGCCGACAAATAAAATGTGATATATAGGAATAGATATACGAACACTAGTCATCTTTTAAAAAGAAGGAAACCCGGCCATTCGGAACAACATGGATGAATCTGGAGGACATTATGCGACGTGAAATAAGCCAGACCCAGAAAGACAAACACTGATCTCATTTTTGCGTGGAATCTACAAGAGCTGAATGCATAGAAACACACAGTGATGTTTGCCAGAGGGTGGGGGGTGCAGGAAACGGGGAGATGTTGGTCAAGGGCACAAAGTCTCAGTTATGAATAAGATGGGTGAATGCTGGGGATCTAGTGGACAGGACGCACTTCAGTTAGCGATACTGTGTTGTATACTTGAAAGTTGCTAAGAGGGTAGATCCTCAGTGGTCTCGCCACACGCACGCACACGTACACAGAAAATGGTGACTACGTGAGGTCACTGGTACGAACTAGCTTGATTGTGGTAATCGTTCCACGATGTATGTGTACATCAGAACATCACCCTGTATACCATCAATGCACACAATTTTTGTCACTTATGCCCCAATAATCTGAAAACATAAATAAATAAAATAAGTAAATAAATAAATACAAACATATAAATAAATGAAACAGTATAATAATAGACATAAGGTGGAGCTCCAGTCATTGACTCGTTTCGCCTGGAACTTTCCACCGGACCACAGCGAGGTGTTTCAACGATCAGCGTATCTTGTAGTGATTGGTTTTTGAAGCTCAGACATTTCACATTGGTTCACTGCCTTCTGTTAAATCTAAGCAAAACGGGAAACTTAGCACTTGAGAAAGTAGCGGCGCACAGAGGATGACGTCATTGTTAGAAAGCACGAGGTCGTCTGCCGTCCACTCGTCCGGCCATCTCTGTGCAGGGTCGTGGACTTAGATGTGGAGTGACGCGTCTAGAATGTCAGCGAAGGCCCTGCCGGGGCTGCCGGGATTCTGAGGTTTCCTGGAGCCCTTTGGAATGTTTACAGCGAGCATGCGTCCTTTTCCGTGACAACCGTGGAGCAGGGCCTCCACCCAGCGGCAGGGCGGGGGGTGGGGCTGGCGGAGGGAGGCCACACCTTTCCGGGCTGACAGGTGCCCGAGGCAGGTGCCCCACGGCAGGTGCCGCGCTGAGGGCGGGGTGGGGGCGCCTTCCTGGCTCACACTTGGCCCCCGGGGGGCGGGGGAGGGGCAAGGGCTTGAGGAGGCAGGTAGGTAGGTAGGTGGGAAGAAGACTGCGCAGGGGCAGGTGTGCAGGGACCTTCCAGGGGGAGGGGAGCGCGGGGCAGGTGTGGCCACAAGCTGGTCTGCGCGCGCCATCTAGTGGGCGCCCCGGGGACGGTCCGTTTGGGCAAGAGCCGCAGGAGCCAATCAGAATCGCCGTCTTGCCGGTTGTGAAACTAAGGCCCTTTGGGGAGAGGTGTGCAGGGCGCCGCGCTAAGCTATGCAAAAAAAAAAAAAAAAAAAAAGGAGGGGGGAGTGCATTGCAACGTTTCCTGCGCGTTTCCCTCTGGGGTGCGCGGGGAGGGCAGGGGCCTAAGGATTCTTTACAGCCGCCATCTAATCCAACCGGTCAGTGACCCTGGCCCCCTGGTTACAGAGTACTCTCAAAGTCACCACCACTCTTAAGGGTCCCCCCTTTAATCACACTGGTATGCTGAAGAGAAGCGGCGGTTGACGTTCACTGGGCCCATGTCATGGGACAAACAGTGGGCATATATTGCTGTCGCATTTCACCCACAAGGGGACCCAGAATTACATCATTGCAGAGAAAGATCTAGGTTCCCCTGGGCATAGGAAGGCATCTTATGTCTCTGGGTTTCAAATGGGTGCGGAGCTGGTGGAAAGAAAGGGTCTTAACCAGCGCCCCCCAACTGTGGAAAGGGGTGGTCCCTCTATGGTCAGCTTGGAGGCGGCGCCTTGGAGGCCGGGCGCAGGAAATAACTTAGTTCACCTGGTAAGAGGAAAGGTGGTTTTTCTTCTCAAAAGGAACAATATATTCTCAGAATACAGCCTCCTGATGATTTTGCCATCTTGAAGGGTGTGTGTACAACGGAGGCAAATAAAACCCTTTATGTAATAACACTCAATTTTGTCATTTGGGACTCATCACCCAACAAAACAAAACAATCCCCGAACAGAAGAAGCCTTTGATGGATGTGCCTCTCGACGGATGTTTTCGCGAGACGGGTCATAAATATTAATGGTATTGACAGAGCCTTAAAAATGTGCCCTGTCACATTCCGTCTGCAACAGAAACACTCGGGATTCTCTCGTTTTGTTTCTCTGAGTGACAGCCACTTGTTTCTTTCACGGACTTGTTTAGTTGGGTCTGTGCTTCCTTTTCATCTTCAGAAATTACCCATCAGTAAAGGTTTTCCTGAGTTGACTCGGGTCAACTGAGCTAAACATCTTAATGGGTTTTCCCTTCACCTTTTCTACCTTCCCTATTAGAGTGTGCATCCTACCATCGATCCTTTTATCCCCGGATTTTTATTGTGTGCCGGGAAATGGCGTAACCTCAGAACGTTAAGCGAACATTGTGGAACCGGGTTTGCTGGCCGTGTTCACCAGCATCCATGTGCTGGGTTGTTGGCAGTGGGTGGTTGAATGGCCCTGGACGTGTTGGGCGGCTGTCCACTGTGTGGGATATATGATATATACATTCCTATATATATATATATATTTCCTATCACCCAGCAAAGATGGTTATCGCTGGTCATCCACACCGTGTGTTGACTGGGTGATCTGGGGCCAAGGAGGAAAGAAACTGGCAAGCGTCAATATAGCAGGCTGAAGTCCTAAAATAAGTTTGTGGATGAAAAACCACAGGACAATGGTTTGCAGAATGACCCCACCTACAGGCGGTGCTCTACTCGGGACTCCTTGAGTGCTGTCTGGGTTTTCTCGCATCTTTGGGGGAGGCCAGTGTTGTGTTGTGGTGCGCCCACAGAAATGTGCATTTCTGGCACATTTAGGGGCTCATGTTTATTTAGGGAGCAATCTGACAGGGGTGCTGGGGTTGCAGAGCGTTTTAATTACCCGCTGCTGGAGCCGGCAAGGCCGATGTGTGTTACGCGCCTCTCTTGTTCGCGTGAAAATTGGCTCGGAAATAATGGCTGGCGATCGCAGCGCTGTGATGCAGTGCGACCAAAGCAGGTAGTCTCTCTTTTTAGCGTATGCAGTTTTTAATCAGCACTTTGGCTGTCTCCAAATCCCCTAACCTGCTGAAAGGTGGCCTTTCTGGGACATCCGTCCTCCTGCTCTCAGACTTAAGTAGCTTCTATACGCTTATTTTGTCGTATTTTTTTTACATGTAAGCTTTTTATTTTGGAGTGAGTTTAGGCTTGTGGGAAGTTGTAAAAATAGGACCAAGGAGCCCGTGTATGCTCCCCACAACGGTGACGTCTGACGTGGCAGACGTACAATGTCAAGATCAAGAAATGAATATTAATACGTAACCCTTAACTCGACCGTACACCTTATTCGACTTCAGCCTTTTTTTTTTTTGCCCGAGTTCATGTGCGTGCCGCTGTCTACGATTTAACCCCGTATTCGGATTCGTGGAACCAGTGGTAAATTAGATGCAGAATTCTGCCGTGGGTAGCGAAGAGCTGGCTGGTACACCCAGTGCCCACACTGCCCCCCTCTGCCCATTTCCCCGCTGACCACGCATCTGACCATCTCTGCTGCTCTGTCATGTCAAGCATGGAAATTAAGTGAAGTCTTAGAGGATGTAACACTTTCCGGTCAGTATTTGTTTTGCACTAAGCACTTGGTCTTTCGTGCCCTTTCAGGCAGTTCTGCACATCGAAGCTGTTCCTTTGCGCGCCTGAGGGGTACTCCGTGTTTCGGCCATACCAGCGCCCGCCCAAGCGTCCACCTGCTGAAACAGATCCAACTTCGCGTCCTCACCGGCGTTTGGTGGCATCCCTCGTTTTGGCTTCAGCCATCCTAACAGGTGTACTGCTCTCTGTCCCGTGGTCTGGGCTTGCATGTCCCGAGCGGCTCGCGATGCCGAGCACGTGTTCATGTGCTTCTCACCTGTGCGTCCTCCGTGGGGAAATATCCGTGTTCGCCCACGTTCCTATAGGATGTACTGTTGTTGTTGTTTTCCGTTGGGTGTTGCAAGTCCTTCAGGGTTAAGTCCTCTTGACCCAGAATGTTCCGCTGTGCTGATTTTTTTTTTCTTTTTTTGTCTCTCTTTGCCTCACAGGTCAACTGTTTTTTTTTAACGTTTATTTATTTTTGAGACAGAGAGAGAGCATGAACAGGGGAGGGTCAGAGAAATAGGGAGACCCAGAATCTGAAACAGGCTCCAGGCTCTGAGCTGTCAGCACAGAGCCCGACGTGGGGCTCGAACCCACAGACTGTGAGATCATGACCTGAGCCGAAGTCGGACGCTCAACCGACTGAGCCACCCAGGCGCCCCTCACAGGTCAACTTTTGGAGAGGCCTCTCCTGGTGACCCTGCCTCGGTTAGCTCTCTCCTTTCTATTCTCATTAACTTCTAAGTGTTTGGTTGGTTGGTTTGTGTTTTGTGTTTGTGTTTTGTGTCTTCCCTTCTGCACTGTTATCGTATTTGTGTGAGATACTGTTGGGTTCATTTGTTCGTTTTACGCTTAGGGGTGTGATTTTTTTTTTAGTCCTTATCTTTGTTGACATTTCTCCTGCATCCACAAGTGAAGACCATTCGAGATGCAGAAGACGTGTTACTCCTCTGCCCACGTGCCCTCCTCTCAGGCCCCCCTGCTTCAGGTAAACAACCTTGGCGTCAGCTGCCTTAGATTCCTGGGTATCATCTTCCTATACAGATGAGCAGACAAAGGTGTGTTTTTGTATTTTCCCTTCTGTCTGATACAAAAGGTAGAATGTGTACTTAGCAGTATCTTCTGGAAGCCACAGTTCCTAGACATTCTCTTCTTTCCTGTTTCCAGCGGCAAGCGGCCCCACTGTGTGATGCCCGGCAGTTTATCCACGTTCCTGAGCTTGGACAGCATGGTCACCAGCCCCCAGGACGTCCCAGTGGCTCTTTGGCAGTCCCCTCCCATGATCAATGGCAGAAGAGAAAAATCAGGTGATAAAAACCACAGTTCCATCCTGAGCCCTCTCTTCCTTGGCTGCTGTCTCTGGGATCACTCGCTCTGTGGAAAGCCGGCTACCATGTTGTGAAGACACGCAGGTCTGACGGGAACCCGTGTGGTAGAGAACCGAGTCCCCGGCCAGCAGACAGCAAGGAACCGAGGCCTGTCAATGACCAATGAGTGAGCTTGGAGGGACCTTCCATTCCTGGTCGAGCTTGACGCGACCGCGCCCCCATCTGACAGCTTGACCACAACGTCGTGAGAGACCCTGAACCAGAGACATCCAGCGAAGCCACCGTGGGTACATGCTTGACCCACACAAGCTGTGAGACAATAATTACTGGCTGTTTCGGGTGGCTAAGTGGTGGTATCGCTTGTTCCACGGCAACAGATGCTCAAGGTGGGGGTCTACATCATTTTCAATAATTTGCAAGGGTGCTGGATAGCACTGTGCACTTGTGTCCTTCATATCGTTCGGACATTTTCCCCACGATCTAGACCTGAAGAGGACAGGAATGCAGCACGTCAAGTACACGTACACACATGTTAAAAACAAACAAACACGTCACACGATTCGAGATCTTGGTTCTTGTCATTGTTCATGGCAGAAAACCCAATGTTCATTTCATAATAGAAACTATAAATCCCAATGCAGACCAGGAGGAATAAACCCAATGAATTTTTCAATGTAGGCAGCGACGTGCATTAGCGTGCACTGGCTTTCAAGTGAGATAATAAGATGTGCGGCATTCGAAACAATAAAGCCACTTATTAGGTTTTGTAACAAGAAGCATCGTGGGACTCAAGCAGGGAAGAAATGCACGGAATAAAGACGCGGGATAGGAGGACAAAATATTAATAGCGGTTCTTTATAATTTATGCTTCCCGATTTTTCACCAACGAACCTTATATATTTGTTTAATTATTATTTTTGTTTGTTTTGAGTGTACTGCAGATTCACACGCAGCTGGAAGAAATAAAGCAGAGGCACCTTAAGCCCCATTCATCGAGCTCCTGCCAAGGGTACCATCTTGCATAAATATAGCACAATGTCACAACCAGGAAGTAGACATCTATACAACCTACTGACAGTATTCAAATTTGGGTAGTTTTACGTACATCCGTCTGTGTCTTTGTCTATTTAGGTCCATGTAATTTTTTTCACCCGTGAAAATGTGTCTAATCACCACCACAAGCAAGAGTAGCTTCCTCACCACATCATGTCCACCTTAATTCCAGAGCCCATCCTTCCAAATGTCCCTGTGCCCCTGCCAGTCCCTAGGTCCTGGCCACCACAAATCTGTCCTCCTTCCCTATAATTTTCTCCCTTCAAGATTGTTATATTAAGGGGTTCATATAGGATGAAAAATTTGGGGATCCCGTTTGGGATTTGGGATGTGCCAAATGTAACCACTCCCCCACTGAAGATATTTGAGTTGTTTCCAATTGTTGCCTACTACAAATAAAACTGCTATGAGGATTCATACGCAGGTCTGTGTGTGTGTGTGTGCACGCGCATGCATACGTTTTCATTTACCTGGAATAAATGACCAAGAGTGCCATGCTGAGTTACTTGGCACCTTGTACTGCTTTTTAAATTTCACACTAAAAAGAAAAAAAAAAATCCCAAAGGTGAAGCAGGCATAAAAGTGAGATTTTATTCCAACAGCTAATTTCATCTTTATTTTTTTTAACTTTTTTTTTTTTTGAGAGAGGGAGTACGTGTGTGCACATGTGAGGGAGGGGCAGAGAGAGAGAGAGAGAGAGAATCCCAAGCAGGCTCCCCCATGCTGTCAGCACAGAGCCCGACATAGGGCTCGATCCCTCAAGCCGTGAGATCATGACCTGAGCCAAAATCAAGAGTCGGACGCTTAACCACCTGAGCCACCCAGACACTCCCTAATTTCATCTTTAAAGGAAATGGTCCAGAGGATTCATAGGGAAAAAATGGTATTTTCCCAAACCAACCAACACCATCAATAGAGGAAACTTTTCTCAACTCATGAAAAGGCCATTCAACAAAAGTCCACAGGGGAGAATGCTTTTCACGGACCCGGCACTTTCCCATTCAGCGCCATGTCACGGCTTTCAGTTGTCTTCTCTGCTGTCACTAAGGCTCCCAGGAAAACGGAGGGAATAGAGACCACCATTGTTAACAGGGTGTAGACATTCCTCTCGCAGTTTCGGTGGTATACTTAGCTTCAATGGTCTCTGTTCAAAATGGAAGACGTGGCCACCTTGGCGATAAATGTGCTTTCATTGCAAATGTTTAATTATAAGCTGTCTCCATTTCAATTTAAAATAACTTCACTTCTTAAGAAAGAACTGTTACCAAGAAAACAGAGCGGAAAAATATCCACAGCAGTGATCGTCACTCAGCTCGCTGAAACTCTCTCAAAGCAGAGAACCCCCCCCCGCCCCCCTGGCACCAAATACAGAAGGTTGATGGCCACGGGGGCTCATACATGTCCCCTTACAGACCCGGACATTACCAACCAGCCCTGTGTCCCCACCAGCTGGACGACGGTGGGCTTCTCCTGAACCACAGACACCGTCCTCCAATGCATACCTGGGTCTCCTGCTACCAAGAGGGAAGAGGGAAACCAGCAGAAGCCCCTTCTCTCCCTTGAAGAAGAAGAATCGAAGCACCTGGGGGGGGGCATCACCCAAGGCAGACATGGCTCCCCAAAATGCTGCTCAGACCCCGGTTCCCTGCGTGAGCTCTCAGCCAGAAGGGTCCCCTGCGGCAAGAGTCACAATCTTAAGTGAAAATCTGCATGAGTCCCAGGAGAAGGGAAGCCACACTCCTCACGTTGCCTTTAGCCAGGGGGAGGCAAACTGCAAAACTCAAAGTAACCAAACGTAGGGGGTACCTACCCCTCCACAGGGCCACCCTCACTTCTGACACCAACTGTCCATTCAGGGGGGTTCCCTGAGTCAAGTTCGAGCAAAGGATTCACAGAATTCAAGATGCTCTTCTCCTCTTGGTTGTGGCTTATTGAAGGGAGGGGGTACAGATTGAAATTAAGCAAAGGAGGGACGCATTGGACAGAGTCTGGGAGGCTTCCAGACCGGCCCCAGCTGGAAATCTGTTGTGTGCAGTCTGTATATTGGAATATTCTTCTCTGTTACAAAGAAATGTGCTCTCACGTTTATCTCAAAACTCTCTTTCCCCTCATTTTTGATACAAATGTGGCCAATGAAAGCATTTAGTCAATACTTACTGGCCACCTTCTCAGACACCATTGCAAGCGCTTCGCACAGATAAAACGATTTCAACCCCACAATGCCCCCACTGGGTGAATGACAATGACCCCCCAAAGTCATGGCCATACCTAATTCCAATAACCTGTAAATGTGACCTTCTTTGGAAGTGGGGTCTCTACAATATGATCAGATTAAGGATCTCGAGATGAGGAGATCACCCTAGACTATCTGGGTGGGCCCTGTGGTGGGTTGAATGGTGGTTTTTCCAAAAGATACGTCTATCTGGAACCTATCCATGTGAGTTTGTTTGGAAGGCTTCTTTGCAGAGGTCACTGAGTGAGTGATCTTGAGATGCGCTCATCCTGGATTAGCCAGGGTGACCCTCAATCCCCACAGCATGTGTCCTCGTAAGAAAAGGACAAGACACAGAGAAGAGGCCGAGTCCATATGGGGAATGGTAGCCACTCCTCTACAGCCAGGGAATGGCAGGAGCCACCAAAAACTGGAAAAGGCAAGGAAAGATTCCTGTCGTTGGGGCTGGTTTCTACCTTCCTGTCGGTGGGACTGGTTTCTTCTGAGGCCCGTGTCTTCCCATGTCTTCCCTCTTTTATTAAAGACGCCAGCCATGTTGGGTTAGGGCCCATCCACCTGACCTCATGGTACCTTAATTACTCCTGTAAAGTCCCGTCTCCAAATACAGACACATCGTCAGGTCCTGGGGGTCAGGACTCCAGCAGGAATTTGAGAGGACACAAGTCAGCCCGTGACCGTGTTTAGCTTTGCAATTATTTAAGCCTTTTGGGAGACCTCACATGCTCTTGAAGGCAACGGCTTTTCCCTCCACTTTGTACTTTTTCTTCTTTCTGTTAACTGGAAAATAACAATCCGCTGTAACGAGTCACCCAGAGTCCAAGTACACAGAATCCCTCACCGCTATTTTTGTGTTTTTTTGTTTTTTTTTTGCAAACGATTAAATCTTACTTTCTTCCAGTTTATAGCACAATCTCAGTGACAGCCGATCCATCAGTGTATCTGCTGATGTTTAACTACAGCATTTTGCATTCATGATTCCCTACTTATCTCATTCTTTTAAAAAGAGGAATAACTTAATTCTGCCTCCTGACAGCAGGGAAATTAAATGGTGAGCCATAAAGAGGAGTGTTTCTCTGCAAAACGAAAACACCAACTGCGGATCTATAAAACCCAGCCAGAAGTATGTCACCTCACAATGAGATACACAAAGACAAGCTTCTGGGAAATCCTCTCCTCTCAGAAAGTAAAGAAACTTTCAAACCTCACACACAACTTGCCAACCGGCGCCTCCAATTTGGGGAGCAGTTTGGCAACAGCGAACGTGAAAGACACATCTACCCAGGCACGCAGGGGGTCTCCTGCCACGTATACACTCCAGGTGCTTGGCATCACGTTTTTGACTGTAACCCATAATGTTAAATACAGTGTGCACAGTAAGTCAGTCAGAAAAAGACAGATATCATATGTGTTCACTCCGAGGTGGGATTTGAGAAACCTCACAGAAGATCACAGGAGAAGAGAAGGGAAGGGAGACTGTTTCCAACAGAGAGGGAGGCAAATCATAAGAGATTCTTAAATACAGAGAACAAACTGAGGGTTCCTGGAGGGGAAGTGGGCAGGGAATGGGCACGGAGGAGGGCGCTCGTTGGGATGAACACTGGGTGTTGTATGTTGGTGATGAATTACGGGAATCTATTCCTGAAACCGAGACTACACTGTATATATACGCTGGGTTAGCTAACGTGACAATAAATTATTAAAAAAAATATTTTGCACGGCATCTCAGAACACATACGTGTACATGGACAGGCATGTGTACACATACATATACACACATCTTTGCATGCTTGCTGATGGACAATGTTGGGGAGGAAGAATTTCCTCTGCCTTTCGAGGTCCTTCTCGATGGGCTAAGAGTCAAATGCATAGGAGACAGATAAACAGGAGAAAATCAAATTTAGTGTCATCCACGGGAAGTCAGACAGGACACTCCAAAGAGCCAACGTGAGGCTTATAAGAGCTAAGGAGAGCCCTAGGGTCTGAGGATACAAAGGGAAGGAAGACCTTCAGCGGGAAGACAGAAGAGATATTTGGAAAACAAAGCTTGCCTTACTATGCAGATCAGTTTCTTGTAAAGAGCAGTCTTTCTTAACAGCTCTCTTCCGGGCGCAGGCCGGCAGCGAAACGGGAGGTGCACGTGAGCTTTTTCCTCAATCTGCTGAGTTTGGATTGCTTTGAACTCAAAATAACTTTTACACCAAAGCAGCCCATCTTGGGGCTGCCTGCTCTTGTCCCCTACAACGATATTAATTTACAGTGTTGTCCCAGGACTGGACTAACGCCTTCTCACTGCCGAAGCGCAGCCCACAGAGAGCTGGCCTGCGGGGACATCCCGGGGGTGGGGGGGGGGGCGCGGGGAGACCACACTGATGCGTTACTTCAGTGACACCACGTTGCCTGGACAGAACAGGTAAAAGTGCCCAGTCAGTGGAGGTCTCGGAAAGACACACGTGCCCCGGAGGACAGGAAGACACTTTAGTGGGCACAGGCGACAGGACAGCCTCTCGGAAGGGCAAGGCAGATGATGAAGGGGGCCACCTCCCTCTCTGTCGCTGAGCGTCCGGGTCCAATCCTCAGGGCTGCGACGCAGAGCACGAGGAAAGGAGTTGCCGCGAGGAAGTTTCTCGGTCCAAGGACGGGATCCCTCAGGGGGCCCTGCGTTCTCCCTCCGGGTCTTCCTCCCGCACCGCCGCTTGGGACCCCACGAGATGATCCACCCCGCGCGTTCTCCTCCCGGCTCCCGGCGCTCACCACCCAACCTGGGGGCGCATCGGGGCCTGGGCGGTGGGACCCGGCCCTCGGGACCGAAAGGCGCCCAGCGGAGAGGGGGCAGTCCTGGAAAGAAAAGGGGCTGGAGGTGAGCGGTGGGTGTTGTCTTGAGGCTGTGGGGGACCCGGAGCGGCAGGTGGGGTGGGCCTGGACTGGGGGCGGGGCCAGGGAGGAGCGCAGGTGCGCTAGGTGGGGCGGGGCGGGGCCGGAGAGGAGCTTAGGGTGAACCTGAGGGGAGCGCGCCGGGAGCGGAGCTCAGGTGGGCTGGGCGGGCCTGGGGTGGGGGCGGGGCCAGGGGCGGAACGGGGGTGGGCGGGGCTGGGGGCGGGGCTCAGGTGGGCTGGGTCCATCGGGACCCCAGCCCGGGGCTGGCGCGCCGGGATCCCAAGCTCCGTGACTGAGTTGTTGGGGGTAGGGCCAGCCGAGCGCCAGCCGGGGTGGATCGGGGAGGACCGGCCGGGGCAGGGCGCTGACACTGGAGACGCAAAGTGCGCTCCCAGGGCGCCGCCGGGTCGAGGTAAGGCAGGAGCTGGTGGCTGTCGCGCAGGCGCTCGGGAGATTGCCCCTGATTTGCAGGCGTTTCCAGAGTAGGGAGCCCGAACCTGGAGTTAGGCGACCCGGCGACAGGGCTGGCCGCCCCGGGAGCGGGTCTCCAGCCCGGACGGGCAGATCCCGCTGGGAGCGGTGGGGCGCGGGGCGCTAGCCTGGCTGGTCGTGAGATTCCCAGGTGCCGCCCCGGAGTAGGGAAGGGGGCGTGCCCAAGGGAAAAGAAAGTTCCTTTGCTTGTCCCCGCCCCGCCCCCCGCCGGCTTTCTGCGCCGCCCCCCCCCCCGCCCCGCCCCCAGGTCAGGCTGAGGTTCTGCTGCTGGGAGTGCCGGCCCTTAAAAAGAGGGCCTGCCCTGCCCCAGCTCCGTCCATCAGGGAGGACAGATGAGGGAGCGAACCGTCCACTAGTGGGGCTCCACCGCCCCTCTGCGCGAACTGCGCGTCCGGAGATTCAGGACGAGGAAACCCAGCGTTCTGCGCCCCCTGGTCCCCACCTGAGGGGTCCCAAGCGCCGATCATGGCCCACGAAGGAAGGCACGCCCACAGTGCTTGTCTCTTGCCAGAAATCTGGGATCTCTCCGCGGGCACCTGAGGTTGATTTCAGAGCAATTTGGGGTTTCAGGTAGAGACTGAGGGACTCAGAGGGGCAGGCGTCTGGGGGAGGTGGGTGCGAGTTCTCCTGCCCCCTCTCCGTAGCAGAAAGGCACAGACTCTTGGAGCGGAGGGAAGTTAACCGGCACGTAGCACAGCGCCTAGAAAGTTCCAGAGGAGATCAGCTGGTATTATCTTGCTAGTTTTATTCTGCGCACGTGGCGTCGGGGTGGTCTGGTGGATTCGGCGACTGCAGGGCGGGCGCGCGGCGAGAGGACGGAGGGGAGGTTTGGCCTCTGGGTCCTGGGAGCTGTCGGCACCTGAGCCCTCCCTGCAGGACACAGGCTCCTGGGGAGTCTCAGGGTCGGGTCAAGTGCCGAGGAGAATGGTGCCCACGTTGAGCTGAAGGGTCTGCAGGTCTGCACCTCTGAGCGCGGGGGGGCGGGGGGGGGCAGGTGGCTAACCCCGCTCTGCAGGTGCACAGCCTCTGCTCCTGGCTCGCGCGGCCCCTCGGTTCCCTGTCCCAGGATGAGCTGACCCCCGAAAGCCAAGGGCACCCTAACAATCGCTTCCTCCCATGAGCCCTTCCGCCTAGTTTCCTCCCATGAGCCTTTCCGCCTAACGCCGGCCTCTAAACGCACCGGAAGGGGCATTGCTAAGTGACATTGAAGTCGGTTGTGCTTCCCGGAAGTCACTGCGCATAGCCGGAAATTCCCTGGAAATCGCCCTTCTCTGAAGCTGCAGGTTCTCAGACAGCCCAGCGACGCCCCGTTTTTCACAAACATCCTCTCTGCTGTTTTAAATAGCCCCCCCCCCCTTTTCCCCCTGGGTGAAGGCGGTTTTCTTCTCTGTGAACTTGACTAGGCAAACTAGATCCCCTGGGTCAATGCGGAAGGCTGGTGGGTCGGGGAATAGTGAAGGCAGGAGCTTGAGCTCTTTTAGGTGGTGGGTCCTGAGGTCCTGGGGAAGGCTGGCTTTGGAGTAGAAGCAGGAACGAGAGGAGGAAAGCATGGGTCCTTGGACGAGCTGTTCAGCCAGGGCAGGGCTGGTAAAATGCAGTCAATTTGCTGCCTGGAGGTGCACCAAGAAGGGCTGGTGGCTGGAGTGGAAGGCCGAGAAGAGTCGGGGAAGGTGGGCACGGGAGCCCCGCAGACCCTGATGGACACCTGAGGCCTCGGGGGGCGGGGGGGGGGGGGTTCTGAAATCCATTCTCCTTTCCCTTCCTCACTGTAGGAACCCTGATAGTTCAGCACAGCGATGACTATATTTTCTCACTTCTTTGCATCAGATAGATGTGACCCTATGAGCGACCTATGTGTCAGCGTTTGTGGCGCCTGAAAGTTTCTTGATGTGTTTTTAATGGAAGGAGGTGTGCCTTCCTGTTTTCTGGTGGCCAGAGCATGGATGTAATGGCTGGAGCCCCAACATCTATCTTGGACCACGAGGCGACCTCAAGGATGGAAGCTTCACACAGTAGAGCACCAAGAGGGCTGTCCGGGTCTCCCATGCCAGCCCTGGGCTGGCCGCCTCTATGTGTCACTGCCTTGACCGAGAAATACATTTGTTTTTGATTTAAGGCCCCGCACTGTGTGTGTGTGTGGGGGGGGGGGGCCTCTGTGATTCACCGCTGAACCTAATCCTGTGTCGTAAACCAAGAAAAAAAAAAACCTCAAATTTTATTCTGATCTAGAGGAAGTGTTTGGAGGGTTTTAAGCCAAGGGATAACATGAGTTATTTCATTTTTTTTTTTTTAAAGGCTCGCTCTGCCTGCTTGTAGAGGTTAGGCAGTAAGCTTCCAACATGAGAAGTAGGGCAGTGGGGTTGAGGGCTCTGGCTATCCAGCAGAAGACAACACTCGGATTCGCTGATGGCGAAAATAGTGTAGGTGATACTCGGGATATGGATTTAAGCTCCGTGTACTTTGGTTTATGGAACGTATGGATTTTTTTTTTCAATTAGCTTTTTGGAGAAATAATTTATAGGTGGCAAAGCACACCCATGCTCAATGTGTAGTTTGAATCATTTAAATAAATATACATACTTACGTAACAGTCAAGATATAGAGGGACGCCTGGGTGGCTCTGTTGGTTAAGTCTCTGACTCTTGATTATAGCTCAGGTCATGGTCTCGCTGTTTGAGTTTGAGCCCTGCACTGACAGTGCAGTGCCTGCTTGGGATTCTCTCTCTCTCCCTCCCTCTCTGTCTCTCAAAGTCAATACATAAACTTTTAAGATCTAGCACATTCCAAAAAAAAAAAAAAAAAAAAAATCAAGAACACTCATCACCCCCCGGCCAAATCTGTTCTTTTGTCCTTCCTAGTCAGTACACATAGGAACTCTGTGCCCAGGCACAGAGTTTTGTTTTGTTTTGTTTTTCATTACCAACTGGATTTGTCCTTTCTAGAATATCCTATCCGTGTTTTCATGCACAGTGATGGGTCTGGTTTCTTGCAAATGCTCATGAGATTCATGCATGACTACATGACTCTGTAGTTTAGTCCTTTTTTTTTTTTTTTTTTTTTGTTGTTTGGTATTTTAATTGCTGAGCGGTATTTTTTTGCCGGGATGGGATGTACCTCCACTTGTCTGTTTCCTCACGTGTTGATTGACACTGGGATTGTTTCCAGGCTTTGACTATCGTCAACAAAGCTGCTACCAACATTCAGGGGCCCATCTCTGTGCTAAGAGCAGGATTTCTGGGGAAGCCTTTAAACTGGGCATGGTCTCCTCACTCCAAGAAGGCAGCACAGGAGAGCACAGGAAGGGGAGGGGCAGAGAGAGAAGGAGAGAGAATCCCCAATCCCAACAGCACAGAGCCTGATGCAGGGCTCGAACCCACGAACTTTGAGATCATGACCAGAGGTCAAGAGTCAGATGCTTAATGGACTGCACTTTCATTTTTTTTGTTTTGTTTTGTTTTTTGGTTTCATTTTTGGAAGGTCCCCATGAGGGTCTGGGAGTGAATTCCTTTGGGGCAGGTAGCCAGTCTTGCCCAAAGATTTTTTTGGAGTAAGGTTTTTTGCATCCACAGCCCCAAGGCTGAGAGGCCCGCTTGGGGCAGAGATTCAGATTCCTCAGCCTGACTTATCCAACCATGGAGAAGACCTGAGAACGGAAAAGGTCCCCTGTGCGACCTGAGGCATGGTGGCTCAGCGAAACTGAAGTCTGAGTGACAGAGGAGGAAATAACAACCCACCCAAATGCACCATGAATTGTCATCGAACGAATAACACTGTAACCACACGTGTGGCTTCCAACTTTCCACAGAGCTAATTATGTATGGACCTTGTGATTTGTTGGCACTTCCCAGAAGGAATGTGACATTTCAAAGCGAATGAAGTTCAGAATGTATATAGCTCGTTGGTAAACTGCTTGGTGACCTGCCTCAGTTTCCAAGGGTTCCGTTAATAATTTCATCTTTTTTTAAAAAATTTTTTAACGTTTATTTTTGAGACAGAGAGAGACAGAGCATGAATGGGGGAGGGTCAGAGAGAGAGGGAGACACAGAATCCGAAGTAGGCTCCAGGCTCTGAGCGGTCAGCACAGAGCCTGACGCGAGGCTTGGACTCACGGACCGTGAGATCATGACCTGAGCCGAAGTCGGACGCTTAACTGACTGGGCCACCCAGGCACCCCAATAATTTCATCTTTTGTCTTTTTCTTCCTTTCTGCTTTCATGGTGGAGAGCCAAGAGGTCACCATTCGATGGACAGAGACCTCACGCACCACAGCCATATCTACCTGGGACCCTTCATGTAAGATGCATGGAAACTTAGATCAGGGGTCCTTTTCTTAGATCGGCTGTGGGCCCAACCCGGCCCGTCCTCTGTTTTGTAAATGAAGTTTTATCGAAACACAGCCACACACTTGCATCTAGCATCTTCTACAGCTGCTTTCCTGCTGTGTGGTTATGACAGAGCCCGAACGTGCTTTTTCTTCTTTTTCAACCCTTAAAGGATTTGGGTTCTACGGTGCTAGGCACACAGTAAGTGCTGATGAGTACTCGTTTAATGAGAGGGTCTGTGAGTGTGTAAGCGCGGGAGGAATTGGCCGGAACACCACCCGTGGGGTTGGGCAGTGAGGGCTCCGTTCTTGCCGACCCCAACACCTGTGGTCTGGGGCTGTGTTCTGTCTGCCTTAGTGAGGAAGAGGTGACTGAGGTCCAGTAGTCAAAACTTTCTAAGTAGATAGCCACTGGTTAAGAACTAGATCATTCCAAACTCAATATTCTCATTCTCAGTCCCGACGCTCCATCACGATCACTGAGGAAGGATTTCCTTATGCAACCTTATTATATACCCAGGGGCTTTTGGAAACCTGCACACTCCTGATGAATATCCCCTAAGCCTCAGTTGCAAAACCAGGGAGAAGGCACGAGACTTGTGTCTTATTTACGATGACGTCAGCTGCAGTTAGGAGAAAGCCACCCGAAAGTGGCTGACATGGTATAATTCCCTTTCGTAACAAAACTTCCGGAGGTGGTTGGTCCGTTGGTTTGTGAATCCAGTGGGGCAGCGGTGTCATCCAAAATGTTTCTATTTTTCCACTCCACGGTACCCAGGCCACTGGCTGTCATTCTCCAACTTTGTTTCCTCATGATCACAAGACAGCTGCAGCTCCTCCAGAGATCACAAACTCACCCAGCTCACCCAAAGGCGGGAAGGGAGATGTTTCTTGTCTTGTCTGTCTCTGCCAGGGAACACCACCTTTCCACAAACCCTCCATTGGTCTTCCCCTCAGACCCCACCTGATCCCCAGTGGGTCCTGGCTTCAGAGGGTTTGGTCAGGTGCATATTTGGCATTTTTAGGATTCACAGTTGGGAGCGTTGGGAGCAGGCCTTGTTGCCAAGGATGAGGTATGAGATAGTGACGGCTGGAGAGGTAGCCAGTGGTCTTCCTCTCTCTCCAGAGGTTGTATCTGTTTGGCTCTGTGTTTTGCACTGGGGTCCTGTGCGTCCGTGTCCCCACTGGAAGACTCCCTCTGGGTTGCCGTGGCGTCGGTCAGGTGGCTTTGTCCAGTGGCTGCCGCTCGGTGCTGTGCCGATGAAACTCAAGCAAAAAGGGGACTCGGGCTCCTCCTGTGGATGGAGACGTGCAGGGGGGCGGGGACCAGGGACGTCAGGGTGCAGGTGCCAAGCAGCGTCCTTAGCAGCCTGTCTCCTGTCTCTCCTCTGGGTTGGCATCGTCTCCAGCAGGATCTTCCCTCCTGGTGGCGAGTTGGCCACCAGCAGCTCCCAGTGTCCGTCCTGCCATTGTGGTCACTTCGGGGAGGACACCGTTCTTCCCCGTCTGGTCCACTGGCTCTGTTTCGCTTGTCTTGTGTCACAGACCCACCAGAACCCATCACTGTGGCCAGCCCGCCTGAACGACATAGGTTTAGAGGACGAGAGAGGTTCCGGGGGGTGCAAGCTATGGGAGGCCAGAAACGAGAGAGGCCAGGCTGTCACCATAGTCTTTCTGTTCCAGGTACTGTGCCTCAGGAGTACCCATGAGATTTTCTGTCTCTGCGCCCTCAGGAAATACTGTCTGGGCACATACTGGTAACGTCTGTGGATTTTGCATAGGGCATATATTTTCTTCAACTATTCGATCAAGTAGTGATGTTTTCAAACCCCAAGAACAACACAGATGGTGTTTGTCACATTTGGGAGGATAATTTTGGATTCTTTTTAGAAAAGACTGGAAAGATTGCGTGAGAAAAAAAGGCATTATATAACCAGAGTTACATCATTAGGAGAAGCTCTCACATGTCCTGCCTCTTTCTCCTCTTTTTGCCTTGCTGGTAGTGCTAGAAATACAGAAATGTTTGCTTTGGGATGACAGTACGTGCCTATCTAACACCCCTGTAAAACCCATTCCATAATATTAATAAAAACTGCTTCTTTTATCCCCTTTGTCGAATTATGCTATCAAATGAGATGTTAAATGCAGGCTCATGGGATGTGTTTGATGGCTGACAAAGTGAATATATGAATATATTCCTAAAAAAAAGAAAAAAACCATCCTGCAGAAGCTGTAATCTCTGAATTGTGACAACCTTGGGTAGAATCGTCTTAATAGAATGTAACACGCAAACTGCCTGAAATGCTGTGATAAGAATTTTAAAAGCTGTTAAATGCAAAGACCCAACGCACAGGGTTAGAAAGGCAGAAGAAGTCTTCATTTAAAATATTTTAATGAACACTCATGGTGAGGAAATGTGAGTAAATGAGGACGAAAACCACGCCATTATGCAAAAACATAAGCAAAAACATAACGAAAAATTAGCAATTAAAAAAATAAGTGTTCTAACAACTAATGCCGAGGAAATGGAAGTCAGCTAATGGATTCCTTGCATGGGAACTAGATCCCTCCAGATAGTTCCCTTAAGTGAACATTGCTGTACTCGTTTCCTGTGTGCACTTGGGTGTACCTAGCGATGACGTTCCTGGGTCGAAGCATCTGTGCATCTTTAGAGCTGACCCACAGATGCACAGACCAGCAAGCATCGCGAGAGATGCTTACGATTCACTTATGTCACCTGCTTGGGGTGATGTGTTATTCAGCGATAGCTATCCGACACCCCTTCCTGGAGCTCTGCCTTCTCTTCGGTCATTTGACCTTTCACTACATACGCAAAATGTTTTAGAAACCGTTTACATATCACATCATACTGTTTTCTAGCTTCACTAGTGTATGATTTAAACCCACGTCACTAACGGCTTGGGAGACATAAAAAGTCTCAAGTCAAATTCTAAGGATGGAAACCACAGTGAGGGGGGATGTTCACTGGAGGGCGTTAATGGCAAAATAGATACTGGCCGGGGCGCCTGGGTCGCTTGGTTGGTTAAGTGTCCGACTGTGGCTCAGGTCATGATCTCACAATTTGTGAGTTTGAGCCCCGCGTCAGGCTCTGTGCTGATAGCTCGGAGCCTGGAGCCCGCTTCAGATTCTCCGTGTGTGTGTGTGTCTCTCTCTACCCCTCCTCCGCTCGCACTCTGTCTCTCTCTCTCAAAAATAAGTAAACATTAAAAAAAAATTTTTTTTAAATACTAGTAAATTTTGGGGCGCCTGGGTGGCGCAGTCGGTTAAGCGTCCGACTTCAGCCAGGTCACGATCTCGCGGTCCGTGAGTTCGAGCCCCGCATCAGGCTCTGGGCTGATGGCTCAGAGCCTGGAGCCTGTTTCCGATTCTGTGTCTCCCTCTCTCTCTGCCCCTCCCACGTTCATGCTCTGTCTCGCTCTGTCCCAAAAATAAATAAACGTTGAAAAAAAAATTAAAAAAAAAATACTAGTAAATTTGAACACATGGCGATAGAAAGTATTGAAAATAAAGCAGAAAACGTGTATGTATACAATGTTTTCTAGACATATTTATTACATATATATTTATTTTACATATATATTTATACACACACACTTTTTCTCTTTTATTTGGGTATATACACACACACATGTATATGTGTGAGTGTGTGCATATATATGTAACTGTTCTGTATATAAACCAAGTTATGCAACTCTGGAGGACTTCCTGAATAAGACTACTTCTGGTACAGTCGTGCTTTCTTTCTCTGTACGAAAGGCACGGATAACCGTAGCTCACCATCAACAGCTTGTGTAATCCAAACTGGATGTCCCATGATGGTGGGGATTCTTTCTGGAGCTACCTGCAGCCCTTTGTCCAAGATCCAGTTCCCTTTGTTGTTGAACTAACTAGCCAAAGTTAGGAGTGGAATGACTGTTTCACAATTGGGTTTTTCCTCAATAAGGCTACTTGACCCCCCATGACGATCTCAGGAGTGTCATGTTCCTCCTGCCTTAAAGATAGTAAGGTAAGAACTCAGGTCTTCTGTATTGAGAATGGCAGGACGTAATCGAATTATTAACGTGAGTTAAAGAAAGCATCCATCTGATAGCTCTTTCAAGCCTACTCTGACCCAGAAGAGTCACCTCACATCTTACTTGGGTAACAAGTGGGTCTTCATTGGTGGAAGAATATTTCTTAAATGTATATTCACAATCCACCGATATTCATGACACTTGTAGTCTGAGTGGTTGCATTTGCTCATCAGTGTTGCCATCACGGGCATAGATGGTGATGGGGTGGGTTTCTAATATGATGGGCATCTCAGAACCTTGTTTCCTCTCCCTTTTGGTTTTTTTTTATTTAAAAATTTTTTTTTTAATTTTTTTTTTTTTATTTATTTTTGAGAGAGAGAGAGACAGAGCATGAACGGGGGAGGGGCAGAGAGAGAGGGAGACAGAATCCAAAGCAGGCCCCAGGCTCTGAGCTGTCAGCACAGAGCCCGACGCGGGGCTCGAACCCACGGACCGTGAGATCATGACCTGAGCCGAAGTCGGACGCTTAACCGACTGAGCCACCCAGGCGCCCCTCCTCTCCCTTTTTAAAGACAAGGACTGTCTTGACTGTTTGTTGATAGTCCTTTCTTCCACCTCGGTACATTTCATGTTTCTGATGATCAATCTTCTCTGTACATTGCTGTGATTGTCTGGTCTTGGGGGACTCACAATTGTGCATTCAGGGGATAATCAACAGAAGAAACACTCAGTTCCTATAGGCAGAGACACTAACATCTCAGCTGGAAAGAAAAGTTTTAGTCACAACCTGCCTAGAACTTCTGGAGGGATGTAATTTGAAGGGACAATGAATGCAAGACTGTTTATCTCTTTCCCTTTTGGTCAGATAAACACTCTTTTTTTTTTTTTTAATTTTTTAATGCTTATTTATTTTTGAGAGAAAGAGAGAGAGAGATTGA